ACAGCCTCAGGCAACTGGGGTGGCAGGGAAGTGGGCGGAGGAGGGGCGGTGATAGTGGGATGGTTATGGGCGGGAGGGTGATGAGGGAAGGGAGATGGGCGGGTTGGGGCGAGAAAGAGACCAAGACAGGTAATGGAGGAAGGGAGATATGTGGGTAGGGACAGGAATTATGTATTTTTTTTTAATTTAGAAGAAGTTTAAATACACACACACACACACACATACACACACCATGCACCTGCAACCACAAATAGGTGAGTACACACACACACACACACACACCAGGAGCTGTGATCAACCCCTGCAGCCACAACTTGGTGAGTACACTCCACCTCTCAGAGTGTGTTACAACAAGATGACGTAGCATGTTACCTTCGGTCATTGTATGTGACAACCACTATTACCACTCCCACTACCATCTCTTTCTCCATCTTCCTCCACCTCTACCTCTTACTCCATCACCACCACCTACTCCTATACCCTTCCAGTAAGGTCACTACCCACACTATCATCTTTTCCTTCACTATCTACATCATACAAACCTTACACAGTCAAGAAGAGCACTGTAACTGTGAAGCTGTTTTAACTAGCACTTAACAACACAATAACCTTCCTTCCTTCACCGCCATATAAGATTTCACACTAAAACCTCAATTATCACACACAAACTTTCACGGTCAGACTTAAATGACTGTTACTTTAATACCTTTCACATTAAGATCTTATTTAATTGTCTTTCTTAAACTCTCGCACTAATTTGTGCACTGTGTTACCTAAACTCTCGCACTATGATCTTGTCTTACTGTGTTAAACTCTCACACTATGATCTTGTCTTACTGTGTTAAACTCTCACACTATGATCTTGTCTTACTGTGTTAAACTCTCACACTATGATCTTGTCTTACTGTGGTACTTAAACTCTGACACTAAGCGCTCCACGAGAGTCATCTCTGGCTAACTAGCCATCACCTGAGCACCCTGGGCAGCGCCGAGCCTTGACGTCTAACAAAATGATTCAACTCAAAAATGACAAATTTTTTTGGTCTTTGACACAATGACGGAGCTGAAGACATTGTACATCACTGTAACAGACATGGCCTCGTGGACGCTGTCTTGGAGATACTCGCACGTCACTGTAACAGACATGGCCTCGTGGACGCTGTCTTGAAGATACTCGCACGTCACTGTAACAGACATGGCCTCGTGGACGCTGTCTTGAAGATACTCGCACGTCACTGTAACAGACATGCGCTCGTGGACGCTGTCTTGAAGATACTCGCACGTCACTGTAACAGACATGGCCTCGTGGACGCTGTCTTGAAGATACTCGCTCAGACTACGCAAGTCAGAAACAGTTTTTTTTCTCGCCTCTTGCAAAGAGAAATTATTATTATTATTATTATTGACACGTCATGTGACAGAGTGTGAGAGATTACACATAGAAGACAGATACACAAATAACCCTCACATAGAAGAGAGGAGCTTACGACGACGTTTCGGTCCCCTAGCTCCCTTGCAGTGCTCCTCTTAGTTTTTGACTGACTCCACTACTACTTCTACCTCTACCACTGCCTCTCTTCTTCCTTTCCTACTACCTCTCTTGTCCCGTCCCTCTCTGCTGGCCTATATATACACTCCCTCCTTCTCTCCTTTTCGTTAGTGACTTTGTAAATGGTTATGTCGGACCGAAACGTCGTCGTAAGCTCCTCTCTCCTACGTGCGGGTTATTTGTGTATTGTTCCAGTTACGGTATTGTGCCTTTTTTGTTATTTCTAGAAGACAGATGACAGAGAAAGTTTTTAAATGCCGTATTTGGCTGTTAATTACACAAACGACAGGTAGACAAGACTGTGTCACTCACTATATCTCTTGTTTGCTCATCATATACATTATCTACTGAGTTCTTCAAGCATTGTGATGGTGGATAGATAAATTAGTCTGTAACACCGCATCCTTAATCACACCATCCGTCAACACAGCACATACCACAACACACGCCATCATAAACACTACCACCACTTCCTTCACCACCACGCCCATCACCACACCCCTTACCACCGCATATTTCACCATCAAACAAATCATTACATATATCACTAAACAGACCATAAACACGAACCACAACACACACATACACACACACAACACAACACGACACACACACACACAACACACATACACTACACACAACACACATACACACACACACACACACACACACACACACACACACACACACACACACATACACACACATACACACACACACACACACACACACACACACACACACACACACACACACACACACACACACACACACATACACACACACAACATTCAACATCCTCTTCCTCAATTTCGATCACTACTTACACCAGTTGAAGTCTCCCGAGTCAGGTGTCTGTCAGAGTTGCAACTTACTTAATTTATTTTATGTATAGATTAAGGTTAACTAAATGTAAATCGTATGTTTTCTAAATTAATTCATTCATACTTTGAGAAGGTGCAGATATAAAAAAAAAATATTTAAACTAGTTGTGGTCGACTTTTACGAGGCAACGCGATACCCAGGAAGTTTAACCCAAGGTTGTTCTATTGTGAGCTCTTTCTCTCTCTCTCTCTCTCTCTCTCTCTCTCTCTCTCTCTCTCTCTCTCTCTCTCTCTCTCTCTCTCTCTCTCTCTCTCTCTCTCTCTCTCTCTCTCTCTCTCTCTCTCTCTCTCTCTCTCTCACTCTTTCTCTCTCTCGAGTTACAAGTCACCCTTGTGTACACTGAAGTAAGCTTGTGTACAGTGAAGTAAGCTTGTGTACACTGAAGTAAGCTTGTGTACAGTGAAGTAAGCTTGTGTACAGTGAAGTAAGCTTGTGCAGGTTTTAACTCATCTCAAGCTTACATTTGCTTATGACTTAATTATTACGTTTAAAGATAAAATGAAACTTTATCAAGGCAATACATCTCTATGTTGTATATACTAGCACAAGAACTAGCTGACAGTCCTCCTGCATACTAGCACAAGAACTAGCTGACAGTCCTCCTGCATACTAGCACAAGAACTAGCTGACAGTCCTCCTGACATACTAGCACAAGAACTAGCTGACAGTCCTCCTGCATACTAGCACAAGAACTAGCTGACAGTCCTCCTGCATACTAGCACAAGAACTAGCTGACAGTCCTCCTGCATACTAGCACAAGAACTAGCTGACAGTCCTCCTGCATACTAGCACAAGAACTAGCTGACAGTCCTCCTGCATACTAGCACAAGAACTAGCTGACAGTCCTCCTGCATACTAGCACAAGAACTAGCTGACAGTCCTACTGCATACTAGCACAAGAACTAGCTGACAGTCCTCCTGCATACTAGCACAAGAACTAGCTGACAGTCCTACTGCATACTAGCACAAGAACTAGCTGACAGTCCTCCTGTGTGTGAATTCTTTTCACTCTTGTTATTATAGCTTTACAATAGAGCACTAAACTCTTAAGGGTGGTACAGTGCATGGCAAATGAGAGGGAGGGGGGATAAACAACATTAACATTGATCCGAGGAAAGGGGAGGGCATCTCATATACCTTGGATCAAGAGCCTTTCACCAGCATCAAGGTACATCCCCTTGAGGGATGTGCTCATCAGTGACCAGTGTTGATTATGCAATGAAAGTCGTGGTAAGAACTAACTAACATTAATGTTGCAACACGAGGAGCAATTATCAACCAGAAAATACATTAATAATGATCAGAGAATGACTTTTACAACAGTTTAATTACGATGAGTCAGGTGATATATGAAAGTTGAAAGAGTGTGTTCGACTCCACGCTGAGTGATGCTGTAAGAGTGTGTTCGACTCCACGCTGAGTGATGCTGTAAGAGTGTGTTCGACTCCACGCTGAGTGATGCTGTAAGAGTGTGTTAGACTCCACGCTGAGTGATGCTGTAAGAGTGTGTTAGACTCCACGCTGAGTGATGCTGTAAGAGTGTGTTAGACTCCACGCTGAGTGATGCTGTAAGAGTGTGTTAGACTCCATGCTGAGTGATGCTGTAAGAGTGTGTTAGACTCCACGCTGAGTGATGCTGTAAGAGTGTGTTAGACTCCACGCTGAGTGATGCTGTAAGAGTGTGTTAGACTCCATGCTGAGTGATGCTGTAAGAGTGTGTTAGACTCCATGCTGAGTGATGCTGTAAGAGTGTGTTAGACTCCATGCTGAGTGATGCTGTAAGAGTGTGTTAGACTCCACGCTGAGTGATGCTGTAAGAGTGTGTTAGACTCCATGCTGAGTGATGCTGTAAGAGTGTGTTAGACTCCATGCTGAGTGATGCTGTAAGAGTGTGTTAGACTCCTCGCTGAGTGATGCTGTAAGAGTGTGTTAGACTCCATGCTGAGTGATGCTGTAAGAGTGTGTTAGACTCCATGCTGAGTGATGCTGTAATTACAACCACAACCCCCAAGTCCTACTTCACTATGTCCACTCATCACCACCACCAGTACGATTGTCCAGTTGTCATTACCATCACTACGGACTGGCTTGTCCAGTCACCACCACCTTGAACTGGCTTGTCCAGTCACCACCACCTTGAACTGGCTTGTCCAGTCACCACCACGAATTGGCTTCCCGGGTCACCACCACAATACACCACCACCACAATGAAACGACATGTCTAGTCACCACCCCACACCGCCACCACCACGAACAAGGTTTATCAGTCGTCACCAGCAACATTAACTTGGAAATGGATCTGTATCATGGACTCGTGATGAAAACATTAGACATGAGATCATTATATTAGAAATGAATCAGTATTTAAGACATGGGATGATGATATTGGAGATATAATCAGGATAGACATGACATTAGGATGTCAGATAAGGATTCAGGATGTCGGGAGGACATTGATCAGAAACGTATATATTTGTTTACATGTCCGTGTAACTTTGTATCTCTACAGATATTAATTGGTAGAATATATCAACATAGTAACGAGTGTACACTCTGTTCCTCACAGAATGCGGCTGATATTGGTACTGGCAGCGTTGGTGGCTGCGGCTGCCGCAGATAAACTGCAACAACAGCAACAACAGAAGCCGGCACAGGGCAAGCTACTGTCCCTGCCTGAGCCCGCCTTGTGCGCCTCCCGTCAGTATTATTGAACTATGTTGAGTGTGTGATGCTTTATTACACTTTATCAACACCACCACCATCACTACCACCGCTCTTCACCACTACCATCATCAACACCACCACCATCACTACCACCGATCTTCACCACTACCATCATCAACACCACCACCGCTCACCACCAACATAGCCGCTACCACTAGCCACCACTACTACCATAGTCCTCACCAACTTTCCCACGCCACAAACAATCACCACTACACCAACACAAGTCTTCACCACCACTGCTAACATAGCCCACTCCACCATCCCCTCTCCCCATCACCCCCACCATCCATCACCACCCTTGCCAGCCACAAACCAACACACACCTCACACCACCCATCACTGCTCACCACATAACAGCCTACATCACCATCCCCATCACTGCCCCAGCACCACCACTACACGCCTATATCACCATCCCCATCACTAACACGCCTACATCACCATCCCCATCACTGTCCCAGCACCACCACTAACAAGCCTACATCACCATCCCCATCACTGTCCCAGCACCACCACTAACAAGCCTACATCACCATCCCCATCACTGCCCCAGCACCACCACTAACACGCCTAATACACCATCCCCATGCCAACTAACACGCCTACATCACCATCCCCATCACTGCCCCAGTACCACCACTAACATGCCTAATCACCATCCCCATCACTAACAAGCCTACATCACCATCCCATCACTGCCCCAGCACCACCACTAACAGCCTACATCACCATCCCCATCACTGCCCCAGTACCACCACTAACATGCCTACATCACCATCCCCATCACTGCCCAGCTACCACCACTAACATGGCTACATCACCATCCCCATCACTGTCCCAGCACCACCACTAACAAGCCTACATCACCATCCCCATCACTGCCCCAGCACCACCACTAACACGCCTACATCACCATCCCCATCACTGCCCCAGTACCACCACTAACATGGCTACATCACCATCCCCATCACTGCCCCAGCACCACCACTAACAAGCCTACATCACCATCCCCATCACTGCCCCAGCACCACCACTAACACGCCTACATCACCATCCCCATCACTGCCCCAGTACCACCACTAACATGGCTACATCACCATCCCCATCACTGCCCCAGCACCACCACTAACAAGCCTACATCACCATCACCGCCACCACCAACCCTCACAACCACCACTCACCACACAACACATTAAACCATACAGTTACACTGTTCGTCACACGGACACGATACACAGCATACAATAAGATGTAAATACTTCAGATAAATCAGCCACTAGGAGTTTACTGGCTGACCCAGTACAGAGGATCAACACCTTAATCAGTTACTGGCACAATCACACCCATATCTAGAATATGCAATAGACGGCCAAAATACTGGGCTACCCCTGAGGCTCTCTTCAACAGATTTCTGAAGAAGGTTCTAGTATGAGGTGTAAATATACAATATAATCCTTCTTTTCTGTTATGTTATGTACATGTGGGCTTATTAGTGTCACAATAAACTTCGAGTTCCTGCTGACCAGTTGCCTTCTGCTTCAGGACCTAAGCAATGGCAGTTCGGCGGCCACAACTACTTCTTCTCCTGGGATCAGGAGCGCCCTGGCTTCTACGAGGAGGAGAGCCAGAACCCACAAGAGAACATTGGCAAGAAAGTGAACTGGCTGATCTCTCGTAACGAGTGCCGCCGCCGCTGCATGGACGCTGTCAGTATCGAGTCTGAGGCTGAGAATGACATGATCCTCGAATTCGTAAAATCCCGTAAGTTTAGCACACTTCCTTACGCATCGCTTGTAATTCAACCCTCAATATATTTACGTCATTAATATATATATATATATATATATATATATATATATATATATATATATATATTATATATATATTATATATAATATATATTATAATATATATATATATATATATATATATAGAATATAATATATATCAATCATAATAATTAAAATAATTATAATATTTATATTATATATATAAGATATAATATTATTATATTTATGTTATAGATAATAATATTATTAATTTTATAAAAAATAGAATAATCGTGCCGAATAGGTAACAATAGACAAGTGCAAGAATTACTTAACACAAATATTTTAAAATTTTCAATTAATAACATATACAAGATAATATTTTTTTTTAGATTCAGAATAATTTTGAAATTATTTCAAGAACCAGAAAATTTACTTAACTTATTTACAATGAAAGCTTTTTTAAGCTAAACTATGTATTTTAAAAAATTTTACAATAAAAAACAAAAAATGAATAAAATTTTTTCGTTAGGTTCAAATAATTTTGAGAAATTTTTGCATCAAAAAATTTCGCTTGTCTATTCGACAAAAAGAGCGTTGCTTTTTAAGTTAAAATTGCGGGGTTTTACCCATTCGCACACTTTTTAAAAATCTTACAATTATAAATTAATAAATTTTCTTAAATTTTGTTTTTGTCATCAAAATTTATCGGTATTGTGTTGGTGGGTGTTAAATTTGTATTTTTAAATGAGAACATTAACCTGAGACTCGTTCACTTACGTCATTTTACGTCAGATTTTTATTAAGATGAATTATTTTTTAAATCTTTTTTATTTACATTCTTTTTTCAAAAAATATTTTTCCGTTTATTTAAACGACAGAAAAATTTTTTTGCCATACTTTACCTTATGTGAGTTTTTTTCCCCCCCCATGTTCACAATAGCATATATTCTCACATACATATGCTACACACATAGAATAACTACACCCACAAGCAATGCTACACACATACATATGCAAAATCACATAGCATTGCACATCCATAGCATATGTACTTTCCAACATATGCTACACACATGATATGCTCATCACATGCAAATGTACATCACATAGCTTTGCACCACATACCATTGCACACACATCCCATAGCTAATCACATACTTCTACCCACATAGCATATGCAATCCATAGAATATACACACAAAAGCATATGCTAATACATACAATGACATCACATACCTACTACATCACTAGCATAGACATACTAAAAGCTTCATCACAAATAATTTTCATATCTTACGTCATTATTTTTAGATGGGTTTTCCCAAATAATAAATGTGTCAGTCTGACCCGGAGACTTTAAATAGGGGGAATGCTGGGGAACCTAATTAACAACTTCCCTTCAGTCCTAAGTTAACAACTTCCCTTTAGATCTAATTAACAACTTCCCCTTCAGTATAAGTTAAAAACTTCCCTTCTATCTAAGTTAACAATTTCCCCTTCAGCCCTAAGTTAAAATTTCCCCTTCTTACCAAATTTAACAACTTCCTTCGTACCAAAGTTAACAACCCCCTTCATACCTAAGTTAAAAAACTTCCCTTCAGATCTAATTAACAACTTCCCTTCGTACCTAAGTTAACAACTTCCCTTCTATCTAAGTTAACAATTCCCTTCAGTCCCAAGTTAACAACTTCCCTTCAGTCCCTAATTAACAACTTCCCTTCATACCTAAGTTAACAATTCCCTTCATACTAATTAAAAAATTTCCCCTTTCAGTATCAAATTTAACAACTCCTTCTACCTAAGTAAAAACTTCCCTTCAGACCTTTTGTTAACAATTTCCCTTCTCCCTAATTAACAACTTCCCTTTCAGTACCAAATTAAAATTTCCCCTTTTCGACCTAATTAACAACTTCCCTTCGCCCTAATTTTAACAATTCCCTTCAGTATCTAAGTTAACAATTTCCCCTTCATACCAAAGTTAACAACCCCCCTTCTACCTAAGTTAACAATTTCCCTTCATACCTAATTTTAACAACTTCCTTCGTCCCTAGTTAACAACTTCCTTCAGTACCTAAGTTAACAACTTCCCCATACCTAATTAAAACAACTTCCCTTCATACCTAAGTTAACAACTTCCCTTCTACCTAATTTTAAAATTTCCCCTTCAGTATCTAATTAAAAACTTCCCTTCAGTCCAAATTTTAACAATTTCCCTTTCGTACCAAATTTTAACATTTCCCCTTCATACCTAGTTAACCAACCCCCTTAGTACCTAAGTTAACAACTTCCCTTCATACCTAAGTTAACAATTCCCCCAGTACCTATTTTTAACAACTTCCCTTCATACCTTAAGTTAAAAAACTTCCCTTCATTACCAAGTTAACAACTTCCCTTCAGTACCTAAGTTAACAATTTCCCTTCATACCTAATTAACAATTTCCCCTTCAGTCCAAAGTTAACAACTTCCCCTTCTACCAAAATTAACAACTTCCCTTCATTACCAAAGTTAACAACTTCCCTTCAGTATCAAATTTAAACAACTTCCCTTCAGTACCTAAGTTAACAACTTCCTTCATACCTAAGTTAACAACCCCCTTCATATAATTTAACAACTTCCTTCATACCTAAGTTAACAATTTTTCCCTTCAGTACCTAAGTTAACAACTTCCCTTCAGTCCTAATTTAACAATTTCCCTTCAGTACCTAAGTTAACAACTTCCCTTCAGACCTAATTAAAACAATTTCCCCTTCAGTATCTAAGTTAACAACTTCTTAGTACCTAAGTTAAAAACTTCCCTTCATTCTAAGTTAACAATTTTCCCTTCGTACTAAGTTAACAACTTCCCTTAGACCTAATTAACAATTCCCCCTTTCAGTACCTGAGCCGGCATTACTGGTTTAGAAAGTACATTTACAGATTTACTTGAATTTTCATGCATCGTTATGCAATAAATTTCAAACTTACATATAATATAGAAAAAAGAAAAAAAAAAATGTTTATTGAGATTATTAAAATCAAGGGCAGAGTACCAAGATTATTAAAAACAAAAAGGCAGGGTCCAAGTTTATAAAAACAAAAGGCGGGTCCCAAAGATTTTTTAAAATAAAAAGGCAGGGAAACCAAGTTTATAAAACCAAGGCGGGGGTACCAAGTTTTAAAACCAAGGCAAGTCCCAAAGTTTAAAAAAAAACCCAAAAGGCAAGTCCCAAAGATTTTTAAAACAAAAGGGCAGGGTACCCAAGATTATTAAAATAAAAGCAGGGTACCAAGATTTTTAAAAAACAAGGGGGGTACCAAGATTATTAAAACCCAAAAGCAGGGTCCAGATTTTAAGACACAAGGCAGAGTACCAAGATTATTAAAACACAAGGCAGAGTACCAAGATTATTAAAACACAAGGCGGGGACCAAATTATTAAAAACAAGGCGGGGCCCCAAGATTTTTAAAAACAAGGCAGGGTACCAAGATTATAAAAACCAAGGGCGGGTACCAAATTTTTAAAATCAAAGGAGGGTACCAAGTTTATTAAAACACAAGGCGGTACCAAATTATTAAACAAAAGGGCAGGGACCAAGTTTTTAAAAAAAAGGCCGGTACCAAGATTTTAAAACACAAGGCAGGGTCCCAAGATTTTAAAAACACAAGGCAGGGTACCAAATTTTTAAAAAATAAAGGCAGGGTCCCCAAGATTATTAAACACAAGGCGGGGTCCCCAAAGATTTTAAAAACACACAGGGGGGTACCAAGATTTTTAAAAATACAAGGCAGGGTACCAAATTTTTAAAACAAAAGGGATGGTACCAAGATTTAAATAAAAGCAGGGTCCCAAAGATTATTAAAAAAAGGCAGGGTACCAAGATTATTAAAACACAAAGGCAGGGTACCAAATTTATTAAAACCAGGCAGGGTACCAAATTTTTAAAACACAAGGCGGGGTACCAAGTTTATTAAAATACAAGGCGGGTACCAAGATTATTAAAAAACAAGGCAGGGTACCAAGATTTTTAAAAAAAAAAGGAGGGTACCAAGATTAAAAACCAAGGCAGGTCCAAATTATTAAAATAAAAGGGCAGGGTACCAAGATTTTTAAAAACAAAATGGCGGGGTACCAAAGATTTTTAAAAAATACAAGGCAGGGTTTCCCAAAGATTTTTAAAAATAAAAGGGCAGGGACCAAGATTTTTAAAAACAAGGCAGGGACCAAGATTTTTAAACACAGGAAAGGGTACCAAATTTTAAAACACAAGGAAAGGGTCCCTTAATTTAAAATAAAAGGCGGGTACCAAGATTATTAAAATACAGGCGGGGTCCCAAAAGATTTTTAAAAACAAGGAGGGTTACCAAGTTAAAAAATAAAAGGGCAGGGTCCCAAAGATTATTAAAACACAAGGCAGGGTACCAAGATTTTTAAAAATACAAGGCGGGGTCCCAAGATTATTAAAAACAAGGCAGGGTACCAAATATTAAAAAACACAAGGCGGGGGTCCCAAAATTATTAAAATAAAAAGGCGGGTACCAAATTATTAAATAAAGGCGGGCCCAAGTTTTTTAAAAACAAAAGGGCAGGGTACCAAGATTTTTAAAAAACACAAGGGGGGCCCAAGATTATTAAAAACAGGCAGGTACCGATTTTTAAAAATAAAAGGGGGTACCAAATTTTTTAAAACACAAGGCGGGGAACCAAGAAAAAATACAAGGAGGTACCAAGATTATTAAAACACAAGGCGGGGTACCAAATTTTTAAAATACAAGGCATTACCAAAGTTATTAAAACACAAGGCAGAGTACCAAGATTATTAAAACACAAGGCGGGTACCAAGATTATTAAAATAAAAGGCAGGGTCCAAAGATTATTAAAATAAAGGCAGGGTACCAAGATTTTTTAAAAACAAGCGGGGTACCAAGATTTTTTAAAACAAAGGGAGGGTACCAAGATTATTAAAACACAAGCAGGGACCAAATTTATTAAAATACAAGGCAGGGTCCAA